CATACATACACATATAAACATATGTGTATATAGACACACACATATAGGTATATGTATATAATATATAAATAAAAGATGTGTCAAGAGGCATAAACTTTGGTATTTAAAACGATTTTGTATATACTTATTTTATATATACTATTACATATATTATTTATGTACATATGTATGTATAAGATTTTTGATTGATGCATTCCGTTTCATGCATGATGTATCATTTTATCCTTCTTTAATATTCGAATAATATCGGAGATAAATTATTGTACATTATGTACACCATGCGGAACACATTCTTTACAATAAAAAAATTCGAGAATAATTTTTATTATATAGAGAAATGCATATATATATGAGAATGTACAGTATATGTACATGTATTTAATAGTATATCATAAATACATATAAATTAATGTTGTTTAAAAAAAAATCTATTGAAAGTTTTAATATTAATTACTACTATTTAATATAATAAACATTTTAATATTCATTCTATATCATTCTCATATTTATACTATTGGTATTGTGTTTGATTTACTATCAAAAACATGATTCAAATAATTATATATTAAAGAAATGAAACATTCGATTTACCTGCCTTTATTTCTAAAAATAAATAACGAAAAAAAGTTATACGTGTCAAAATATTTGTGGAATAAGTAAAAACAGTAACATATATTTTATGATTATTTTACATATATTGAATCAGTGAACGCTAAATAAGTATTTTCCATGATAATTGTCGAATGCTGCTTGTTGGATCTTTTTGAAGAGATATTAATACACATAATGTGTATATATACATATATGTAATCATAAAATAAAAAAATACTAGAACCTAAAAAATTTTAATAATAATGTTTTGATAATGTTAAAGATTCATTCACTGTTTAAAAAAAATATTTTAGGCGAATATCTGAGTACGCTTAAGTATATTGCAGCATTCGAATATTATTTTACAATATTATTTTGCATGACATTATGTTCGAAAACATCCGAAGACTGAATTCCATCATAAAAATAGTGTCAGTTAACGTAACGCACATGCAAAAAAAAAAAAACAAATAATGTAAATACTAAATAAATACACAATGATTCGCCAATCGTATATTACGAGAAACTCATCAAAACTATCTATAATATGAATCACTAAATTATAATACGGAGGATGGCTAGAGGATGATTAAAGCATAAATGTACGCCAAAAATGTGAATGTTTGAATAAATCAGATTAATTATAAATAAAATGAACAGAATTAAAGTTAACAACGATTTTAGTCTTGGTCTTCTCGTATTCGCTTTCTTCAATCTTCCAATGTAGCATATCCTTTGTACCTGTATATCTTGCCTATATATTTATATTATAGAACTTTACAGTTCAGAATTCATCTATTTATACATGTTGTTTTACGCTTTACTTACAGGTATCTAAACTGAAGAGAATCTTTTTACGAAAAACAGCAAGGTGAAATTTTTCACTTTGACGTGACCTCTATATATTTATTTACAATCATTATTTCTTTCAATTATAATTTTTTCCATTTGTGTATGTTTAAATATAAATACAAATATATATATATATATATTTATAT